TATAAGATTACCAATTTTACAATACCCTTTACCTGACATTTTTAGGCCTTGTTGTCTGGCTTCTGCTCCCTTCCTTGGCGCCACACCAAATTAAATTACAATGCTAAAGGGTCCCCTGGATCCTCACAGCTTGCTTGATTTTTATATAGTTACATTTCTGCTGCTAGCATGGGAATAAGATTTTACATTGAAAAAAATCAATTCTTAACTAAGAAAACTTTAAAAAATCCACCTTTACAAATATCATTTCAACTTTCAAACACCACAAGTGTAAGGGAGAAAAACATCCACACTGTAAGAACTGCCCAGTAATGGAATCAATAACCCAATGAAATGATGAGCTCCACTTTAACTGGATTGTAATAGACTGCTGTAATTTGGATTCCGGCAGTGAGCTGAAGATCAGCCTTGGTGCCCTAAATGGACTCTTTCAGTCCTGTGATTCTGTGATTTTGAAACTAAAAATCAAAGTTAAAGAAACTCTTAAAATATGTGTTTTTAAGGTCTTTGACCTCTTAACAAAGAGGTCAAGCCTTTTAACTTAATAGGAAGGACTGGAGAGGCCAAGAGAAGGCTTGAGCTCAAATCCCATGTCTACAGTAAGTGAACTTCTTTAAATCATCTCGGGGGGATCAAAATGACCAAGATAAACTCAGGTTTTATAGGGATCCTCTAGGAAAAAATCCTCTAGGAAAAAAAAGTAATTTTTTCTTTAATACTTAAAAGCCCAATCTGTGGATTTTAGTTAGAGCTTTCTCTCACTACAAAATAATATATAGTAGAAAATGGCAAGCAGATTCTAAAAATGCAGAGAGATAAAATGAGGAAAATAGGAAAAAGCTTACAAGCTCCTGCACTGTTCTTGAGGACATGGCAAGAACAGGGGTTTCTTTCCTCCGGGTTCTCTTTGATACTGCATGAAACAGAGTGGCCTTGATCTCTACAGTATCCCTTGTCTATGATTTACTGGAATATAATCTCCTGAAAAGTATGTCTATGCAGAAATATACACTTATCTCTAATAATATTTATAATTTTTACAATAATAAAAATAATTTTAAAATTATACAGTACCTAAAAATGTAACATGAATGGTATTTAGGTACAGATACATAAATACACATACATACATAAAACAAAGAAACAATGTACAAGAGAAAGAGAAACTGCTTTTTATGAAAAGGCAAAAATAGCAGTGTTCGCCCCATTTTTTTCAATGGAGATTTGGCAAACAGCTGTCTGTATTGTTAGTGAAGGGCTATGTACTCATGATCATGTGAAATAAGTTAAAATGTTTACTTAAAAGTGTTTTTAAATGTGTATAGTAAAAGTTTGCTCATAAAACTGGTGAAACTTAATTTGCAAGTCTCTGTAGTTATAGAAGCTTAATGGAAGGAACAAAACACAAAGAACATTGTGTTTCTTTTTCACATTGGTACAGAGCAAAACAATAGAAGTTGAAAATAATTTGTTATGGCTGGCTGCTTCTTTTATAAAAAATCAAGCTTTAACAACATTATCTGAAGCAATTGCCCACCGAACTTCGTTATAAACACCTCTTGCCAAATGCAAGATTCTTCACTGTTCTCAGCACTCTTTCACTAATTTTGATAGTTCATTACCAGACTTCATTTTACAGACAGTGATCAGCAAAACAATGCAACTAGAAGAGACAACAAAGCAAACCCATAAAAAAGAACTATAGAAAAATAATTTTAAAAAAAGCATGCATAGTATGGATATATGTAAGTACATTCATAAAAATGGTACATTTTAAATGTCTGTAATGAATTATTCAACTGGGAAACTGTCAGCATCTTAGACCAAGCTAAATCCAAAAACGCGAGGGAATTCCTGCAAGCTTGGTATTCAGACAAGTCAGCCATCAACAGGCACATAGAGATAAACAACATCTACACATTATTCAAAAGAGACAATAAAAAGGAAACAAAAAGACCAGAACACCTCCTCACCAGCAATCAACACCCAGATAAGCAGAGAGTAACACTAAACAAACAATCACCAGTAAACATACCCTAATCAAGGAACTACCAACTCAGACAGACAATCAAGCAGAAAACAGCCTAATCCTACCAACTCAGACAGACAATCAAGCAGAAAACAGCCTAATCAAGGAACTACCAAGGAGAAAACACCACCACCAACAACAGTGACAGGGCAAGTATATACAGAGACAGAGAGCAAACCCCACTCCCTTCGAGCACTGAAGATGTTACTTAGCCGGGTAATGAAACGTCTGCAAGAAAGGAACCAAGCTCAGAGAACCACAAGGACTCCTCAATTAGTCTATCAAAAAGCCATCCACAGAGAAAGTAATCTATTAGAAATAAATGCTACAACTAAAAAATTGAAAACATATATGAATAAAATCACAGTTTTTCAAAACTCTTTGCAGTTGTGTTAATTTCTTCAGCCAATGCTGTTTTCCAATGCTTTTAAATATTATTACTAAAAGGAAAGTACTTTCATGTTCCAGTATTTTGCTATATTAAACATTTAAAAACAAAGAATGAATTGTCTTGTATCACTTTATATGGCCAGAGGAAAATGACCAATAAAACATTAAAACTGATTATTGAAAACCATTGTGTAATTTTCCAAATTTCCTCAGATACTTTCAACTAAAATGAATAATTATATGAACCCTAGCCCAATCTAAAAAGATTTTGATTAAAGGGGAATAGTAGCATCTTAATTCTTGGAGTTTTATTGAAACAGATTTAAAGGGAACTTTATGCAATAAATAGCTATTGATAGGAATTTTTTAAACTTGTTAGAGGGTTCTGAGAATTGATCACAGAAAAAAAGAAAGCAAAAATGTAATCATGAGAGCAATTAAAATTATTGACTATTGGAACTATGAGTTTTGACTGCCTTTGG